TATATTAGAAAAATTAATTTACAATTACAAATGCCAATTAAAGATTTCAAATGCAAATTTTAAAAAATTGGGTCAGAATTTCTCAAGCGGATCACCTAAAACTAAAAAATTTTCTTTTTGAACCAAAATATTTTTTTTTGACTCTTAATATGGTTAAAAAAAATCCCTAAAAATATTAAGCCAAAAAAAAATTTTTTGTAAGTTATTAACAATTGAATTTTTTAGTACTGCTACACGGAAAGAATTTTGGGCAGGCTGCAGGCTTTACATGAGTGCCGCTAGAGCTCGCTGCCTCAAGCTCGCAGTTAACCTCAAAAAGGCGAGAATCTACTCCCGAAAGGTAAAGGCCAACGCAGAATAGAATCTTTAACCGGAACCGCAATCGTAAGCGTAACCGTAAGAATGAGTTAAAGAAGGATAGGTATATTGTTTATCCTTCTCTAACTCATTCTTACGCTTACGGTTACAGATCTATTCTGCGTTGGCCTTAAGCAGCAACTCCTCAGGGGCAGCTGCTCACCTTTCGGGAGTAGATGCTCGTTTTTTTGAGGTGAGCTGCGAGCCCTGTGCAAGGGGCACTAATTTCGGACATGAAAAGCCAGCAGCCTGCCTAAAATTCTTTCAGTGTAAATTAACAAATTTTTTTCTCGAGTTCCAGTTGACGGATTTAAAATTTAAAATACGGGTTTTTTTCGTCTTGGATTGTAATATTTGAATATATTTTTTGTTTTTAAATTTTTTTATTTTTTATAATTTTTTATGTAATTTGTTTATAAAATGTTAATAAACAAATATGTTCTTCACGTCCTAACAAAAAAATTAAAATTGTATTCCATTCCTTAAACGTCTCCGAGTGTAAAACTGTTTTGAAAAAAATGAGCCTCAATTAGAAAAAAAGTTATTAATTAAAAACTGCAGCTGTGTAGAGCTTTACATGACGTTAAACTCGCCCCGCGCACATTGTCATTTTTTACAATTTAATGTTCAAAATTGTCTGGAGCCTAGAAATTTTATCGGATTTTGATGGTTTTGGTCTTAAATTAAAGGGGATAAAATTTCTAAGAGATCCCTCTAAACCAATTTTTAAATTTTAAATTGTTTATATTTTTTTTGTTATTTAAAGTTAACAATTTACAATATTTTTTTAAAAAATCATGTTTATTTTTTTATTTTTCCATTGCAAATGATTGAAATCAATTTAAATTAGTCTAGCATGACCACTAGACAAATAATAATGCATAATGCAATTTATTTAAATTGTTGCAAACAATCTTAATTTATTTGTTTAAAAAGTAAATAATTTGTTTATAACAAATGTAATTGTTTGTGCTAATAAAGTTTTTGAAAATATTTTTTCTTTTTTTTATGGGCCTTAGGCCTTAAAAGCTTCTATTTAACATTTTAACGATAAAAATAGTAGAAAAAATCCCTGATAAAAAATCAACATTTTTGATATTTTTACGAAATACTAAAAGTCGCGTACTAAATTTAAATAATTATTGTAGGCAAAAATTATATTTTTTTTCTTAAATTTTTTCTACATGTGTGTAAATGATATCTGTATCAAGTAATTTATTATTTATTGTTAAGAAGAACTCAATTTTATAACCCTAAAAGTTTATTCAAAAAACAAAAAGAACCAAAGTTATCTATTTGTTAATTAAGATTGTTTGTAATAATTTAAATAAATTGCATTATGGATTATTATTTGTCTGGTGGTCATGCTAGACTAATTTAAATTGATTTCAATCATTTGCAATGGAAAAATAAAAAAATAAACATGATTTTTTAAAAAAATATTGTAAATTGTTAACTTTAAATAACAAAAAAAATATAAACAATTTAAAATTTAAAAATTGGTTTAGAGGGATCTCTTAGAAATTTTATCCCCTTTAATTTAAGACCAAAACCATCAAAATCCGATAAAATTTCTAGGCTCCAGACAATTTTGAACATTAAATTGTAAAAAATGACAATGTGCGCGGGGCGAGTTTAACGTCATGTAAAGCTCTACACAGCTGCAGTTTTTAATTAATAACTTTTTTTCTAATTGAGGCTCATTTTTTTCAAAACAGTTTTACACTCGGAGACGTTTAAGGAATATAATACAATTTTAATTTTTTTGTTAGGACTTGAAGAACATATTTGTTTATTAACATTTTATAAACAAATAATGTAAAATATTATAAAAAATAAAAAAATTTAAAAACAAAAAATATATTCGAATAGTGCAATTCAAGACGAAAAAAACCCATATTTTAAATTTTAAATGCGTCAACTGGAACTCGAGAAAAAAATTTGTTAATTTAGCAGTACTAAAAAATTCAATTGTTAATAACTTTTACAAAAAATTTTTTTTTGTCTTAATATTTTTAGGGACTTTTTTTAACCATATTAAGAGTCAAAAAAAAATATTTTGGTTCAAAAAGAAAATTTTTTAGTTTTAGGTGATCCGTTTGAGAAATTCTGACCCAATTACATTAAAAATTAGATTTTAATTGCAAATGTATAAAATTTACTTACAAATTCAATGACAAATGTAAATTAATTTATTAATTAAAATTAAATTAATTCCATTTCAAATACAGGTTTGTAAAATTTCCATTTTAAAATTAATTTTATAAGTGCAAATATTTCAAATTTCCCTCTAAATTAAAATTAAGCGTTAAAAATGTATCATTTGAAAAATACAATAAAAATATCAACTTTTTTTTAATACATAAAAGAGTAAGTAATAATAAAAAATTGTTTACAGTACGTCAATTTACTGTAAAAAATCAATTATAATCCTTCAAATTAAAAAAAATACATAATTTCCAAATATGACAACGCATAAATGCATCTAATTTACATTTTTTCAAACTTGACCTAACAAAAAATTATTATTTGAATCCATTTTCCAATTTAGATATTTTTGCAAAAATTCACCAAAATTTATCAGATTGGAAACAACAATAAGTTGCCAATTTTTTTTTCTTTTGAACATGAAAATAATGTATAATAAAAAACAATTAATTCATTTCACATTAATTATTATAATCTATTAATTCTTTTAATTTGATTCAGTCAAATTCAATGCAAATGAAATAGAAATTCACTTCAATATATTAACAAAAATTTTTTAATTACTAATAAAATAAATAATTATTAATTTAATGATTCACTACCGATTCAATTACTAATTACAAATTAAATTATTCATTCAATTCAATTATTAAATTTTAAGTCAATTATTGATTAATTATTCAATTATTAATTACTAAAATACTTAATTATTCATTAAATTATTAACTAATAATTGAATTATTAACTAATAATTGAATTATTAACTAATAATTCAATTATTAATTAGCAATTGAACTAACAATCATTAATTTAGTTAATAATTAATTACTAATTCAAGTATTAACTAATATTTCAATTATAATTTAACAATACAATTGTTAACTAATAATTAAATTATTAATTAGAAATTCAATTGTTAATTATTATTACTAACACAATTATTAATTGAATTCTTAATTTCTAAATTAACTATTAGTTAGCAATTCTATTATTCATTAATCACAGCAAATAATTAATTACATAATCGTTTTTATAAATATTAATCGTCATTTTAATAAATTGTACGAAATTTCTCTTTAAAAATAAGAATCGGACAGACAGTAAAAAAAAGTTAGTCCAACTCTATATTTTCATATTTTAATAAAAAGAAGTCAGTAATTACAACAACAACAAAAACTGTTAAAAAGTGGGAATTTTTTTAATTTCATAAATTTAATCAAATTTTTTTATTTTGAACCATTGGAAATTGTGAATTTGATGATTAAGTTAAATCATCAATTATTAATAATTGATGATATAATTAATCAGTTTCGTTAATGACAAAAAATCATTACTTTTCAATAATCAAACAAAATTGTATCATTTTCTGAAACAGAAAAATCCATAAAAATTTGATTCAAAGTGGAAAAAAGTTCAATTCGTCATACTTTTTTTTAAAGAAAAATATATTAATATCGAATTGAACTTTTCTTTTATTGACTGTCCGTTTCCTTTAAAGAAAAATTCTTATAAATTAAAGTCAAGTATTGTCAAATTTTCCTTCTGTATTTCTAAATAAATAAATAAACCTTTTTTTTTGTTAGAAAATAATAACAGTATTTAAAAAGAATTTTCTTGAAATACTAGAAATTTATTTCGATTGATAAAAAATCGAAATAATAATGAAAATATGTTAAGTAATTAGTTTTAAGTGAGCACAGAAAAAAATGTATTTGACTCAAATAAGCAATTATTTAACTATTATTAAATAATTTACTTGTTAGTATTAAATATTTACTTGAATCAAAATATTTTTATTTGAATTAATAAAATTGTATTTGCTTTAAATACTGAAATTCTTGGTTCAACTTCAATTTAAATTACATAAATAAAATTTATTTAATTCAAGTAAATATTTATTTATTAATAGATATTTCGATTATTTCTATATATACTGAAATCAAAATTTATTTGATTAAAATAACCGATTACTTGTATATTATAAAATAAATATTTACTTGATTCTAATTTAATTTTATTCAAGTCAAATAAATTGTATTCTAATAAATAATTTCAGTTCAATTTTTCAAATATTTTTCAATTTTTTCAATTCAATTTCTTTATTTAATTAACTTGAATAAAAATTATTTGATTCATGGAAATATATATTTGTTAATAGAGCAGAAATCGACTATTTGACTTAAATACAATTTTTTCAGTGAAAAAATGAAAATACTTTCGATTATTTCTATCTATACTGGAAAAAAATTTTTGATTCAAATAACCAATTACTTGTCTACTATCAAATAAATATTTACTTGAATCAAGTAAATTTTTTTCAGTGTAGGTAGAAATAATCGAAAGTATTTTCATTTTTTCACTGGAAAAAATGTATTTAAGTCAAATAAGGGATTTCTGATTTGTTATCAAATAAATATTTACTTGAATCAAATAAATTTTATTTAAGCCAAATACATTTTATTTGAATCAAATAAGTTTTATTTAAATCAATTAAATTGTATTTAAATAAATAATTTCAGTTAAATTTTTAGGCATTTGAGACAAATGCCATTTAATTACTTGAAATAAAAATTATTCGCTTCAATGAAATATTTACTGGTTAGTATCGATTATTTAAATCAAATAAATTTTCTTTTAGTGTAATGAAACAAAAGACACCAAAGAGAAGAAAAAATATTTTTTTCTTGTGAAATATTCGGCCTTTCTTCGTCTGTAGTTTGTGTGTGTGACTAAACAGCTTGCGAGTTTGGTAATAATAAATTTATAGATTAGAAAAAAGAAAACAGAATTTAAGTATAGTCTCTTTAAAAATTTCACGGCTATTATTAATCATTTTGAGGCAAAAAAAAAAGAATTGCTACTGTGTGTTAGTTGTGATAATTTCGTCATAATTATCGAGAATTCCAAGCCTCTTACGACAATCAGGACAGTACCATTTACCTTTTGGCGGTACCATTATTCCCACGCATTCAAAATGAAACCACTCGATACGACAGTCACTTCCATCACAGGCAATCATTTCCGAAACCTCATCATAAGGACACTGACAATAACAATATAAATTTGTCGCACGCTCTGAATTTGATGGATGTTGATGATGTTGCTGCTGCTGCTGTAACTGTTGCTGTTGTAGTTGCTGCAACTGTAACTGTTGCTGTTGTAGTTGCTGCTGCAACTGTAGCTCCTGTTGCTGCTGCTGCAATTGTTGTTGCTGCAACTGTAGCTGTTGCTCTTTTCCCTCATTATCCGATTCCGTGTCACTACTACTCTCACCATCTTCATCCGAATCACTTCCACTTGGTTGTAATTCAATTTTTGGCTCTTCAATCTTATAATTATTCGCCGTACGCTTTAATGTTAATGTTGTACGTTCGAGAAATGGTGGCGTCACAATTCTCGGTGTCACTTGCGAAATTTGAGCTCCAATTTTACCCACCGGGGTGCTTGTTTCAATTTTTTTCCACTTTGGCAATTGCTTTTCATTTTCCTCGTCACTCGAATCGCCATAGAAACGTTTTGGTATTCGCTTTCTTTTTGACGAGCGTTTATTTTCATTTTCAATGAGTTTCGCTGTTGGGGAATTTTTCGGCGTGGAAAAATTCGATGATGTTACCGTTATTACACTTGGCGATGAACCGGGTTTATTTTGATAGAATGACTTTGGAATGTTGAGCTTAATAGACTCGACGATCTTTTTTCCTTTATCGACACGTTTTCGTTTTTTTGTTTTTATTTTTTTTTTCTGTGGTGGTAGAGATGGTGGAGATGGCAAAGACGGTAAAGATGGTACAGAAGGTAAAGATGGTGCAGAAGGTAAAGATGGTGCAGAAGGTACAAAAAGTACGGAAGGTACAGAAGGTAAAGATGATGGGGTGATGGGATTGGTTTCTAGAAGAACTCCGTTGTTTATTTGTTGATCGTCGATTGGTTTTTTGGTCTGTTTGTTCAGTTGTTGGGGATATTGATCATAGAAGTCTTCGTCTGTTTCCGATTCGTTGGTTTCGAGATCGGATTCGCGGAGTGCTTGAGGCGCCTCGCCAGGTTCGATAATTTCCTCGGTGGTACCATTTTCTTGAGTGGTGGTTTCTTTTGGTTCGATGGTTTCATTTTCCTTCCCTTTTTCCCGCTCCTTCTTTTTCTTCTTTGGGGAGTTGGTTTCGGACGCTGAACTGGAATCGGAACTTGAACTCGAACTTGAGGAACTACCGGAAGAACTGCTGCAACTGCAATTGCTGCCACAGGAACAACTGCTTGAATCTGAGTCACTGGATGAATCGCTCGACGAGGAACTGTCGGTTCTCTTGCGTTTTTTAGTTTTTATTTTCTTTTTGTTGAGAGCTTCTTGCTCGTAGCCGGTTTTTACTTCTGGCAAAACGACTTCCGGTGTTTTGCTTCTTGCTTTGTGGTGCTCGTCTTTCTCTTTTTTAGAGAAGACGGTGCAGTAGTCGTGATCGGCGAGAATGACGCTCTTGAGAAATTCGATGTCGGTGTCGGTGCCCTTGACTGGAATTGAAGTGTCCTGTATTCCTAGACTGGCGGCGTATGTTTTGAAATTGTCCCATATTCCATCCATTATTTGCGCCTCTTCTTTCTTCTCCTCCTCGTTGAGTTCGACATGAACGATGTTGTCGATTTGCGTTATTGTTTCGTGTATGACTTGATCATTCTTTGGTTCTTCCAGTAAATCGAGATTAATCGTCTCCCTAACTTTATCGTCTAAATCGCTATCACTGTCGGAGGATAGATTCAAAGGGGGTAAATCGTAGACGTCGACTTTCTTCACCGGCTCCTTTATCTCCTCCTCCTCCTCCTCCTCTTTCTTTTTACTTTCGCTGACTTGTTCGTTTTCGGGTTCAACTTGAGTTGCTTCTTTTGGTTCCTTTCCCTCGTTGACTGGTATGGTTTCCTCAATCACCGGTTGTTCTTTGTGAGTTTCTTCATGTTTGGCTAATAATTTCTTTGAGATGAATCTTTCCGCACATTCTTGGCACGCGTAGGGAAAATCGCCGGAGTGGAGTCTCTTGTGAACTTTGAGTGCGACCGCACGGGTGAAATTTAAATTGCATTCCTCGCAAATGAACGCGGTTGGTGGAATGCAAAAATGATAGACGTGGGGCCACTTTTTTTGTAGACACTTTTTACAGAGTACACTTTCGGTGCCGTGTTTCCAAAATAAATGTTTCGTTATGTCCGGTTTATTTCTGTAGGCAATGCCGCAACGATAGCAAAGATGATGGAGTTTGTGCTTCCAGACGTGATTCGAGAGTTTTTGTTGATTGCCGGTCGACTCCAAGCACACGTCACAAGTGTGATGTTTCTTTCTCAAATGAACCATTAGACGAAAAGCAGAGGGGATATTGTTTAACGGACACAGACAACATCGATATTTGACATTATCATTTGGTGAATAAACACCGGGACACAAATGACAAAGAAGTTCGCTGTAATTATAAAACGATGATTTGCACATTATACAAATGAGAATTGTCTTCTGGTGCATTTTCCGATTGTGGAGATAAATGTCCTTGTGTAGGAGCGAATAATGCCGGCAATGAAAACACTCGTAAGTTCTTGGACTCGGAATATTGTAGGTTCCCTTCTCGGAATTATAGGAATCAAAATTGAAACACTGCGTCTCGAGGTCGTTTAATGATTTTTTGATTTTTGAAATGACTTGCTCGCAATTTAGAATCACTGCCGGATGTTGAGGTTGAAAACGATGTTCACTCAGTAAATGGAGACCGAGTTGTTTTCCATTGACGGCAATTTGACGCGCGTGATTACAATAAACGCAAAAACAACTCGCCGCATCGATGCACTTTCGTAAAAGATCTTGTGGATTCATATTATCGGGTATATCCTCAACGTTTAATTCAATAAACGGAAGATCCTCACTGGCAAGAATGATACCATCATTCTCTTGTTTCTCTTCAACTTGTTCTTTCAGAAAATTATCATCAATTTTTTCTTCTTCCTCCTCCTCCTCCTGCTCCTGCTCCCCTTCGTCGTCCTTTGCAATTAAATCTTGATCCTCGGCGCTATTATCAACAACCGCAAGTTTCTCACTATCCGAATCACTGTCACATTCATTGAGATGAAAACTTTCAGGACTGTCTCTACCTCTCTCGGAACTTTTCTCCTCAGACGCGGAAGATTCACGATTATTATTCTCCTCGGACTCGGGATTTAAACTATTCTCAACATTTCGAGGGGCAATCGAAAATTGAGAATTTTTATTTGTGCAGATCTTTATAACTAGACTTCTATCAGTTTTTGTGACTGTATTAAATGATTGATAATCAACAGTGTCCATTGTTTTGGGCACTTCTACATCTATTTCTTCTTCTTCTTCTTCTTCTTCTTCTTCTTCTTCTACTTCCGGTTCTGCTTCTTCTTCTTCATCTTCCTCCTCCTCCTCTTCTTCTTCTTCTTCTTCTTCTTCTTTTTCGGGTTTTGATTGATGAGGACTAAGAAGAGATTTATTCGAGACTGGACTATTGGATGGTGAATTAATTTCTAGATTGTTCTGTGTTTCGTTTTCGTGACATTTTTCTTCATTAATATCTGAATGGGGACTCAATCTCACATCATCTTCATTTTTTGGATTTGATGATTTAATTTCGTCCTCTTTATTTTCATCGCTAATTGAATTTATTGTTTCGTTTAATGAAACACTTTTGGATGTATCATTATCATTTGTTTCTTCTTGATTTTGTTGTTCCTCGTCATCTTCTTTGGAGATTTGGGATTTTTCACTGATACCAACACGCGATACTTCCATTATTGTTTCTGTATAACTGTCGTATGTTTTCTGAAGATTTTCAGAAGAAGGTTCTTCGGAAACGTTTTGTTTCTCTTCAGCGACAATTTTTTTCTCCTCCTTTTCGTTGCTATCCGATTCGTCGACATACCTGAAAAACAAAAATTAGTTAAATAAATTTTATTTATTATAAATATTTAAGTATTAACTATATTGTATGTATAGAAATAAATTTTTCAATTATTTAATTTTTTTTATCAGTAAAATTTTAAAGAAAATTTATAATTTACAAAAAAATATAAATTATAAAAAATAATGTTTTTAATTTCATGGTTTTAGTATATAATAAAAAAATATTAAAATTATAAATAAATAAAATTAACAATATATAAGTTAAAAAAATATAATAAATGTATTTAAAAATAAATGATAAAATAAAAAAAAATGTATTACGCATATTCTTTTGCAGTGAATCATTGTTTTGTTTCTATTAAATCGTTCCCGCATGAAACAAGTATATTCCACTGTTACTTTATTAGTTTCTACAGGGAAAGTTTTAAAACTTTTTCAAATTATGGACAGTTGTTATGGCAACATCCTCTACCTCTTATATTTCGTTTCTACGGAAACAGTTGTCAAGACAACTGGGTCTAATTTAAAAATCAAATATAAAAATTAAATGGTTGACGAAATATTTTTTATTAAAAATATTTTGATTTTAACGTTCAGAACTTTACGATGATTATTCATTATTCATTATTAAATATTAAATTAATATTCTCCGAGAAATCAATTTTCTTTTAAAATTCTAATGAAATTTATTAGCAAATCATGTGCCTGAAGTTGCCATCGATGCTCAGCATCGAAAATTTTTTTTCATCAGACCATAAATGTTTTTGCATTTTCTTACTCAAGTAGGTACCCAATAAATACCAACTAAGTTTCATCCCATTATCGATAGGGGAAAGTTGTCAAATCAACCCCTAAATTTAAAACAATTAAAAAAAATAGGAAAAAATTGTTATTTACACGGAAAAAAAATCAGCCTAATAATGCATGGAGTCTATTGGTTCGATTTTTACATGAGCCCATTTTGCAAATATCACACAGGAGTTTACTAAAAATGCATGGCTTTTGTGACTTTTGCCACAGCACCATGCGAAAATAGGATGGATTCCAAGCTAATCACGCATGGTAGTGTGCGTGCAATATACACAACAGACGCTCATGTGTTTTTAGCCTAGTATTTTTTTCCGTGTATAAACCAATAACGAGACCAAAAATTTTATTGCATAAAATTCATTCACTCGATGCCCAATGAATACAAAAAAATTTTCACCCCCATGTCGATAGGGGAAAGTTCTCATTTTCAACCCTTAAAATTAAAAAAATTAGAAAAAAATTTATTAAAATTGCAGTTATCCTTTGACCAGGGATTTTTTTTTTGTTTATTGCTTCTACATACTCCACTAATAAGTAAAAAGAATTTCACGAAAATCGCCGTCCGGAAAACTTGATTTTTCTGCCCGTAAAAATAAAGAAATTAAGAAAAAATACGTAAAAAAATTGTAAAAACTGCAAATGTCTTTTGACCAAGGATTTTCTTTTTGTTTCTTACTTCTACATATTCCCCTAATGTATGTACACAATTTCAAAAAAATCGTCGCCCGGAAACCTTGACTTTTTTGCCCGTAAAGACAAAAAATTAAGAAAAAATAGGTAAAAAAATTGTAAAAACTGCAAATGTCTTTTGACCAGAGATTTTCTTTTTGTTTCTTACTTCTACATATTCCCCTAATGTATCTACACAATTTCAAAAAAATCGTCGCCCGGAAACCGTGACTTTTTTGCCCGTAAAAATAAAGAAATTAAGAAAAAATACGTAAAAAAATTGTAAAAATTACAGTTATCTTTTGACCAAGGATTTTCATTTTGTTTCGTACTTCTACATATTCTCCTAATGTAGGGGAGAGTGGGGCAAAATGGGGTAGGCGGGTCAAATGGGGTACCTCTGTTTTTCCATGATAGATACTTTTAATTTTTTTATCCTGGACATATATCATTCATGTTGATAAGAAACTGTTATTAATTATAAAGACACTCGAAAGAAAATTTTATTTTGAAAGTTATACAACTTTTAAGTTTTAAGCAAAAAAAATATGAATTTTTTTCAAAATTAAAGTGCTTACAAAACTTTTTGGGATAATGCATTTAATTTGGCAAGTGTGGGATCTTTTTCAGTACTTATTCTAGAGTAATTTCCAATAGAATAGATTGTTTAATTGTTTACAATAACTTGGAAATATTGCATTCTGTTTTAATATGCAGTGTGGGGCAGAATGGGGTACCTAAGTGTGGGGTATGTCGGAAGCTACGCCGTTTCATTAAAACTATTTAAAAACATTATATTATGCATATTTAAAAGTTTCCTGCAAAAGAATCGATATTTTTGTTTCGAAGCATTTATACTATCGATGTTTAATAATCGATATTTTGCAATATCCATGTTTTTTTGTTAAATTCTAATAAATATTACTTGTTTTTTCATAGTAATAAAGAATCCTACTTTTTGTTCTTATTTATAATCTCATACAACAAGAATTTAATGAATTTTGAAAAAATATTCAATGTTTTGTATAGTTATTTGTATTTGTTATTTGTATTTGTTTTGTATAGTTATTTCCCATTTTGCCCCACGGGTGGGGCAAAATGGGATTTTAGCACTTTCTCAGAAAATACGATATAAGTTCTTTCAAAAATTTTTTTCTCCGCTATTATCATAATTTCCTCAAAGCTAAGTGTACTAAGAAGAATTCTGAAGTTTAGCTGAATCGATTTATTCGTTTGGTTCTCTGTAAACAGCCAATTTCAAAAAGGTACCCCATTTTGCCCCACTCTCCCACTACCTTGACTTTTTTGCCCCTAAAAATAAAGAAATTAAGAAAAAATACGTAAAAAAATTGTAAAAACTGCAAATGTCTTTTGACCAAGGATTAAATTAAATTAAATTAGAAATAGAGTTAAAAAAAACTCCTATCTAATAATGAGACTTGTAGAGGGTTAAGTGCCATATATAATTTATCGTAAGTGCGCGCCAAATTTTATAACTGCGGTATAAAGAGAAATATATTCATTTCGGTTATTGATTTCCAAATTAATACTTTCTCACAAAAATATTTAATTTTGTAAAAGTTTTGTTACAAAGAGTTTTCTGAGAAATGATGTAATTGTGTTACCAAAAAGGTACTTTAAACCTTTGCTTCTATTAAATTTTAACTACTTGAAAAACAACTGTGGTACAAAGAAAGTTATAAAAGAATAAAAATAATGTTAAAATAAAAATAATGTTAAATAATGTTAATGTTAATGTTAATGTTAATATTAAATAATGTTAATGTTAATGTTAAATAATGTTAATGTTAATGTTAAATAATGTTAAAAATGAAACTTTAACGTTATTAAAAATCAAGTTTTAATTTAACTGACATGCATTAAATTGAATTAACTTGAACCAATACTTAAAACTGTGATACAAAAAAATGCATTATATTTACTTAATCTATTGTTTTAAACCATATATTTTATTACAGAATCATTGAACATTTTCGAAAGAGTGTTGTTTTATAGCGTTTTCAACGATCTGTTCAAACTTTAATGCAAAAAATAAGGTTTCTACATATGCCTTCATTGTTATCAAATTTTTATTTTCTTGAAAAGAAAATACGTTTCTATGTTACAAATATTTTTTTTCCAAATGCGCACTAAATTTTAAAACTGATATAAAGGGTTTATCACATTTATTTTGATTATTAATTTTACATTTTATGCCTTCTTGCTAAACCATTTAATGTTATAAAAGAGTTGTAACAAAGAGTTACATTAGAACTGATGTTGTTATGTTAACAAAAACGGAAGTATATACCTTTACTTCTATTAAATTATGTCATTTTTGAAAAACAACTGTGATACAAAGAAAATTATTCTATTTATTACTTCAAATTGAAATTTTTATACCATTTTATCTATTTATTATTTTGAAAAGTGTTGTTACATTACGAATTGTTATAAATGTAATGCCGAAAATCAAAGAAAATACCACCATTGGTATTAAACTTTAACGTTTGTAAAAAACAAGTCTAATTCCATCGAAATGGATTAAATTATGCCAACCTGAACCAATGCCAAAAACCCCAAAAACTGTATTTTATTTACTTCAATCTATTATTTTTCAAGATCATAATTTTGAAAATCTATTTATCATATTTAAAAGTGTTATATCACAAAATTTTCAACGATTTTGTTAATTTGTAATGCAAAGACTACCGCTATTATAAAATTACGATTATATTAAACTTCTTTTTTAAAAGGAAATATGAACATAATATTTAATGACAAACGATTTTATCTAAACGTGCGCTAAAGTTGAAGTCTTCGATACAAGGAGAATTGTCACATTTATTTTGATTATTAATTTTACATTTTATGCCTTCTTGCCAAAACATTTAATGTTATAAAAGAGTTGTAACAAAGAGTTACCTTAGAACTGATGTTGTTATGTTAACAAAAACGGAAGTATATACCTTTACTTCTACTAAATTATGTCATTTTTGAAAAACAACTGTGATACAAAGAAAATTATTCTATTTATTACTTCAAATTGTAATTTTTACACCAATTTATCTATTTATTATTTTGAAAAGTGTTGTTACATTACGAATTGTTATAAATGTAAAACCGAAAATGAAATTTCAATCTTACAACTGTTGGTATAATGGTATGGAAATACCATGGTATGGGAAAAACAAGTCTAATAAAATCAAAACGACTTAAATATTGCAATACACTGCAAAAACAAGTGTCTCATTTTGAGACGTTTTGTCCCATATTTGAAACACATAAGATGTCTTAGTCCACATATTTGAAACAGATATGTGTCTCATTTTAAGACGTTTCAAAGTGTCTTACACATTTAGCAATGCATTTTGAGACACGAAATGTGTTTCGAGTATCAGTCTCACACTAAGAAGACGTTTTACGTGTCTTATACGCATTGAATTACCTTTAATGTCTTAAAATGAGACACGAGATGAAATTAAATGTCTCACTATAAGACAGATTTTGTATCTCAATAGTTTAAACACTTGAAACAAC